CGTAGCTTTTATTATATCTTTTTTTCTAGAAATATGTTGCGCCTGACACACGTAATAGATATTGTCTGTATATTTGACTAAAGCGTACATTTTAACACAAAATTTTAAATTTTGATTATGATTAAATATGACTTAGACACAAAATACTCATCTTACAACTAAAATATTTATGGCCGGTTAGAAAAGTGATTAACGAATATTATTCGACAAGAACGAAAGCGCATAAAGACCACTAAGATTGAAATATATTAGATGGGGAATCATATATTCTTTAGATGAGATATATTCAGAGACCTTCTACAACAAGCGATTAATCATAGATCATAAGCAAATTGAACGATTGCAGTCAATTATATAAAAAATAATTGATGGTGATTGGTCAATTTCTTTATAACTTATGACTAATTGCTTATTGTAGACCTCGAAAGATAAATATTTTAATGACTACAGGGCACGTTTACACAGCAGCGTTAATTCGGATTAGTAACAAATATAGTTAATGAATTCATAGATTTTATTGGTATATGTGTTTAAATCTAATGGCTTCTGACCACAGGACATGGCAACGCTTGCCGCGCGCTGGAAATTCGCGCGACTGCCAATCAATATGCTCTTTTCCGTAATAATCTTCTAGCTCTTACGGAAAAACAGCATATTGATTGGCTTTTGCGTAGTCGATTATTTAAAAAATAATGGATTGTGGTTGATCAATTTGCTTATGACTTATGATTAATTTCTTATTGTAGAAGGCTTCAAAGATATAATATTAGACATATTAAACACATAATATTTGATGTCTTTTTTAAAATATCCTAAAAATATTTTGAAGACATCCTATTTCTGACATTTTAGGTTATAGCGGGAAGTACACGCACCGGCGTTAATGTCGTCCGAATATCCGTGTGACTCGCACACGATAACGCGTTACTCATACACTGCTGCGTGTAGGTGAGCTAAGAGCAGCACGGAGTGGCGGAGGGAGCTAGCGGTATACGATCGTCGGACGCTTGGAGAGGGAATAGTGGTGGGAGTCGCGGCGATCTTCCATCCTCTATCGCAAACGTAAGAACGAGAGAAATAGCATTATAAGACGTCTGGACAGAAATGCCGTCCTAAAATACGTGTGAAACACACGAAGAAAACGCTTGACTCACACTGTCTCGTCTATACGTGAGCAATACGCGGTGTCCCGA